TATAAAGACAAGTCCTTCTGAATCCTTTGTGACCACGCCACTCTCAATCTCTTTTATGTGCTGGAAATTTTAAGTATTCTTTCAACAGTTTCAACAGGACGTGCCCCCTGGTGGAAATGTTCGCAAACCTCTGTCTGTACAGGATCTCTCTTCTTAAACCAGTACACAGGTTTATTTTCAAATGCAAAAAAGAGACTTCTGCTTTCACATGGCAGATTGAACACATGCACTTAGTATTAACTCTCTCTCCATACCTCAATAAAATAACGAAGGAATTAAAGGCGGGGGGGCCTAACCCATAAAGACAAAATAGTGGGAGGAGACAACAGAAACTAAATTAGTGGTAACTGACCGCACGACAGAGAAGCTGAAACCCAACTGCGTGCGGCAGGGAAAGCTGCAGCCAGCCAATGCAGGCTGTAGAACCTGGAAAGGTGCTCCACTTAGAAATATTTCTGAAGGAAGGGGTGGAGCTAAAAACAAGGAATTGAGATGAAAGTTTGAATGGAGTGGTTTGGTTCCAAAATCCTGCCCTCACAAAGGACAGCCAGGTGATTTCCTTCCCCTTTCTTGCTTAAATAAAAGGTTTACTGCCTCAAGTGGTTTGCAGGGACTGTAGTGAGGAAGGAAGAACAAGGAAGAGAAAAAGAAATACCTTAGTGAAAAGAGGAGGATTAAGTCCAAGTATACATACTGAACCCTGAGACTCCCAGCCTGGTGCTCAGAATACTACATGGAAAAAATTTGAGGATTCTTTTGTAGGATGCTGATTAACCAAAGAGCTAAAATTTGAAGATTCCTCAATGAAAAAAATTACTTGTTACTTTAATACCCTACAGAAAAGCCTACCAGTCAAGAAACCTTGCCCATGCACACAAAGTTTCCTCATAGTCCTTAACTGTATGTATGATCACCAGACATGAAGAAGAAAACAAAACAAAACAAAAACCAACCCTAATTAATACTCTCAAAAAAAGATATTACATCCATGAAACAAGAACCGGATGCTATAACAAAGGAATATTTAAAAAAAAAAAAAAAAAAACAGGAAAAGAGCCTCTAGGAATTAAAAATATTATATCCAGAATTTCAAAAATAATAATCAATATACAATTTCAAAGTTAAAGTAGAAGAAATCACTTCAAATCACCTCTAAAGAAATCACCTAAAAAATAATAACAGAGACAGAGATGGATAACAAGAGAAGGCAACTGTCAATAATAACAGTAAAAAATCCCCAGAACTGTAAGACATGAGTCTCCATACAGAAACACCTAGCAAATAAATTTTAAAAGATACATAACAAGGTATATCACTGTGGCACTTCAGATCATGAGGGATACAGACAGGAACCTAAAACTTCCAAGGAGAGAAAACAAGTCACATACAAAGGGAAGAGAGCTGTTAGATTTTTTAATTGCAACGCTTAC